ACTGGCCAATCCGCCCCGCCCCCCACACTCCCTCCACAAGGCAGCCGCTGGTTCCACTTCCCCTTTCCTTGGTGGCAGCAGGGAACAAAAGGTTCATTCACCCCCCCCCAGCCCGGGCCCAAAGCTCCCTCCTGGAAGGGGGGGGCAGGGAATGGGGCTAGGGGCTTCTCCCCTGTGGGCGCTGGCAGAAAATGGGACATGGGGCCTTTCCCCTCTTGTCAGGACCTGCCCAGAGCTGCCTCCTGTGGCCAGAGCCGGCATTGCAAGAAGCAGCCAACACCTTTCAGCAGCTCTCCTCCGGCCCCCTGCCCTCAGTCCACTTGGACCCCATTGGTGGTAACAAGGGACAGCGAGCCAGGACTCCTGGGTTCGCTAACTGGCTCTGGGAGATTCTGGGCAGCAGGGAGCGGGGCAGGGGCTCAATAGGGGGCGCTCTGCTCTGACCGTCAGCACTGGCCCCAGTGCAGTGCTAGGGGACATCAAGCCAGCAGTCCCCAGATACCCAGCCCCCGCACCCCACCCCAGAGGGGCTGCATCCCAGTGCCGGGCGAGGGGTCCCCGGATAACCAGCCCTCGCGCCCCACCCCAGAGGGGACGCACCCAGGGCGTGGGGAGCTCACACAAACGCCCAGCAGGGGGCAGCACTGTTTCACACAATACAACCTTGTGGCATTTATTACTGATTCCATCCCTCCACTGATACAATCCCACCGCTGGTTCCCATGCAGCACCCTCCACTTTGGGGTTGGGGGTCTGCCCTCTCCCGGTTCAGGGGGGAGGGGGAGGGAAAATTTCCATCTCACCGGGAGGGGGCAGCCTTGCTCCGTATCAGGGCATGCTCCTTGGGGACCATCTGGCTGTGGTATGAGGGGGACATGGTGTGCATGGGGGGGGTCGTGCATCTGGAGCAGGTCAATTTCAGAGTGTGAAATTAACGAGCTTCCATCCATGATTGATTGGCGGGAGAGACCTGAAGATTAGACAAGATTCCCAGAGTGGAGGTGTGGTTTGGGGGGGACAGTGGGAGGGTCTCACCTCGCCCGACACCCACACCCTGCTGTTGGGCCAAAGGAACCGGCCACTTCAGCAGATGGAAAGGGGGGCAGCTTGATCTGGTGTGGGGGGGGGCGTCAGTACTGGGAGTTCCCACCATGGCTCCCAGAGATCTAGGGCGACAGGCAGCCCAGGAAGGCACAGGGGACGATGGTGGCGGGGTGCGTTCAACTGGAGAGGGGCAGAGGTGGAATCCAGCCCCAGGACAGTGCCGATGAGGACAGGGATGGGGGGGAAGGTGGAGAAAGAGGAGAACATGGGGGTAGAGGGAAGCAGCACACACTACAGGAGTCTGACCGGGATGCTATTTGCCACAGGAGACCCAGTTCCGACCCCAGCCTCTGCCTCAGGCTTCCATGGGCCGCCGGGCCCCCCCAGCCGCCCGCAGCCCCCCCGGCTCGGTGAACTGGGTCTTCTTGGGGGACAGTGTCTCCTCCTTGCTCAGTACCTGTGGGGAGGCAAACGAGATAGCTTGTTTCAGGAAGAACTGGGGAGGGAATCCAGGAGTCCTGGCGCCCAGTCCCCTGCTTTAACCACTAGGCCCCACTCACCTCCCGGAGGATGCGGTCTCTCAGTTCACTGTGGGTGAGGGGTCGTTCCTCTTCCTCACTCCCAGCTTCATATTCCTCCCTGGGGAGAAGATAAAGAGAATGAGGGGGCTAAGTATGTGTGAACCCCACTGCCTCCTGCGGGAGATAGAACCCAAGAGTCCTGGCTCCCAGCCCCCCACCCTGCTCTCACCACTAGACCCCACTCCCCTCCCAGAGCCGGGAGAGAACACAGGAGTCCTGGCTCCCAGCCCCCCAGCTCTACCCCATCCCTCTCCTGGGTCAGGTCTTTCTAGACCATATGTGTTGTGGGTGGCAGGGTGGGGAGCCCCCCTCCAATCCCATGGCTATAGGGGGTTGGGGACACGGTGCTTACCCAGCAGTGGGGGGCCGCAGGGGGTACGTTGTGGGGGCGTAACCCGCCATCTGCCCCAGGAGCAGTCGAGCCGTCTCTTCGGGGTCGTAGGGCAGATCGTAGTTCTGGGGGGAGGGGGAAAAGGTTGGGGGATGGTCTGGGGGTGGGGGGCTCATTTCCTGCCCCCCCACATCCCCCTCAGATCATCCCATCCCCCTGATCTCTGCCCCAGCACACATCCCCCCCACCTCATTCCATCCCCCTGCCACCCCATCCCACTCCCTGCCCCCCCCCCACTTGGGACACATCCCCCCAGCACCGACCCCCGCAATTCCTCCCACCTGACACAGACCTGCCCCCTCTGCCCCCTCAATCCTTCCCCCAGCACAGATCCCCCGCCCCTGGTTTCCCCATCCCATCCCATCCCATCCCCCAACGCCCCCCTCCCCGGCTCCCCCTCAGCTGCCACGGTCCCATCCCCCACCACTGTTGCCAGTACAGATCCCCCCCAGCTTCACCCCATCCACAATGTCCCATCCCCCAGCACCCCCCCATGCAGAACTCCCCTCCCCAGCTGCCCGTACCTTGGAGGCCAGGTAGGAGCGCATGGCCAACAGCTCGTGGGCCCGCTGCTCCAGGAGACCCAGGAACACGGGGATGTTCCCATCCCGCACCACGGCCGAGCCCCCCAGCGCCTCGTCCAGCGCCGAGCACTGACAGTCCAGCTTCCTGAACAGCGACCTGATCCCTGCGGGGACAGATAGCCCGGATGCCTGGGTTGTACCCACAGCTTGAGGAGGGGGAGCTGGTGGGTTAGAGCGGGGGGAGCTGGGAGCCAGGACGCCGGGGTCTATCCCTGGCTCTGGGAGGGGAGTGGGGTCTAGTGGTTAGGGGAGCAGGGGGGCTGGGAGTCGGGGCTCCTGGGTTCTCTCCCCAGCCCTGGGAGGGGATTTGGGTCTAGTGGTTAGAGCAGGGGGCTGGGATCCAGGACTCCTGGGTTTTACCACCGGCTTGCAGAGACGATGCGGGTCCCGGGACACCCCCCCCCCCCGGCTCCGTACCCTCTTTGAGCTGTTCCAGGGTTTTCCTGGCCACCTTCTCTTTGCTCAGCAGCTGCTGGGCCTCCTGCACGACAGCCTCCTGCTGCATCTCCAGTGCCCGGGTCTGCGCCCGCTGCTCCTGCTGCTCCTGCTCGTCCTGGGCCCGCGCCGCCTGGATCTCCCGGCGCACCTGGGAGGCCGCAGAAGGGTACAGGGAGGGCATGGGAGGGGGGAGAGGCAGGCAGAGCTGGGTATGGCCCTCGGAGGGGGGGCGGGATTTGGCATGGCCCTGGGAGGGAGCAGGGTTGTCTATGGGGAACAGGGCCCCGGGGGGCAGAGCCATGGGGGACAGAGGGGGAAGGGCTGTCTATGGGGGGGCAGTGCCACCATAAGAGGGTGTGGGGGGCAGGACAGTCTTTGGTGCAGAAGGCCCTGGGGAGGAGTTGGGAGGATGCAGGGCTTTCTGTGGGGGGGCAGGATGCTGGTGGGCAATGGGGGACAGTGGGGGGCAG